GAGAGAGAGAGAGAGAGAGAGAGAGAGAGAGAGAGAGAGAGAGAGAGAGAGAAAGAGAGAGAGAGAGTTTTCCATCGATAGGATGATCACCACACCGGCCAATAGGTAAGTCTCGGACCCCACGGCTGGCCTCACGCTACTTCCATCGATAGGATGAGCAAAAACATTTTGGTCGTCGGCCTGGGGGCCCGCCATCCGGACCGGTTACCGGAAACTGGTACCGGATGCCGGACCCTGGAGAGTCCGGATCCCTTTCCGGGGATCCAGATCGTAGCTATGCTCGCTACAGACTCCAGTCCATACTGTTCTGCCCTTTTATTTGCACTCGTAGCTATTTCTTTCATTTTGGTTGTTGGTGCACCAGTTCGTATGATGCAGATTACTGTTTGCTACAACCCCCCCTGGTCTCTGCTGGTATTCCATCTTTCTCCTTCCCTCTCTGTGGTTCGTATGGGACCACAGCGACGGAAGGAGAAAGACAGAATAGCAGCAGAGACTGAGGGAGTGTCTGGAAAACACTAATCCGCAGCATCTCTAGGAGCTCACGAAGAAATCAGGCAGCCAGCTAGGGCTGGGAGAAGGAAAGCAGAATACCAGTGGCAATGGGCACCGTGCAAAAAAGCACAAGCCTCTCTTCTAGGCAGACCTCTACATAGTCATCAATTCATCAGTCTCTTCAACCTTATGGTGTCTGGCCTCCATATGGTTCCCACCGGTTGAAGCTTGCAAGCCCTGAAAGCTCGTGTCAGATGTTTCATATGCCCAGGGATACCCAGACAGACAAAGGTGTGTATCAGTAGTAGTCCGCTCATTTATTTGACATATTGATTGTACAAATGAGCAGTTCATACGGTGACTCAAACGGTCGCCTCAAAAATAATAAATAAAATAGACACAAGGTAAAATCGTATATCAAAACGACTTCTGGCATCATCAGAAGAGATAGGGGTCAAAACTTCAAAGCTAGGAAACCCAGAGTGGGAGGATTGATTGGGGCCTAATCGATCCTAAATCAGAAGCAAAAGGCTTACAGATCAAGTGGGTGATCAAGTTGTAACTTCGAGAACACCTTCCATCAGTATGAATGGCACTTGACAGCAGAAGAAAAATGAGCCCCACTCAGACCCCTCCGAACACAGAATGGAGATTCTTGGTCATGGCCAAAGAATGGACGGTCAGCACAGGAAGAACCAAAAGGAACGGACAAACCACAGGTAACCAAACTACACCAAAACATGTCCTATACCGGGCCTCAATCCTATTGGCTTCACATAAACTACTCCCTAAGAAAGACAGCAAACCTCAAAACAAAGATGAAGTACTCATTTTCATTGATCTTGGGTGATTCAGCAAAGTGCAATAACCCACTCAACATGCCTATGTCGTCGGCCAAGGGGGCCACCCGCAGGCCACAGTTCGGCCGCAAGGCCCTGCGTCCAAAAGAGCAGCCCATGGGAATGACGCCCACAGCAAACACTCTCTGAGAGTGTGTGTGCTTGTGTGTGTGTGTGTGTTCAGGTGAGTAGCTCCGCTCCTGTGCAGACTCAGATCTCTAAACTCTAGAGCTTCACCTATCTCCTATGCCCATCTCCTCTTACCCACCACTGCACTCCAGAAACCTGGCAGAATCTGAGTCCAAGTGCAGATGATAAATGGATGCCGAATGTCTGGCTCGGCTCAGCTCAGCTCAGCTCCCCCCACACACACGAAGGTGCATTGGCGGCAGACTCAGCTGGGGTGCACCAAGCGCCATGTAGCATGCCAAGCCCTTCAATTAAGTACGATGAGCACAGGCGTGATATCAGCTCTCGTGTTAAACAATGATGTGAGAATTTGTGTGTGCCTCCCGCGGGCATCGCTGAGCTAATGTGTGAGGGGGTCGTCAGATAGAAAAGCTGGATTGTTTCCTTCCTTTTTGCTTCGGTATTGCCGAGTATGTTCTTTTTGTTTCGCTTTTAATTCGTCGGATCATTTCTCAGTTTACGGCATTTTATGCATGTTATCCTTGAGCAGGGGCCATGCTGATCTTCTCTGTACTGTTCCAATTCTAACAGATGTCTCAAGGGGCATTGCCGGGCACATTTTTCGTGTTTCCTTATTTTGTCATTTCTTCGGTGTCGTTTTTCTTGTTTCCCACTTTTTTGCCTTCGTTTTTTTATCTGCCAAAAGTAGAGGCCATGCCACGCATGCTCACACGCGGACACATGCACAATGTAAGATTTACACTGGCACGTGACATGCCATACAATACAATGTAGGTGTCTTTTCTTGTTTCCCACTTTTTCGTGTTTTGAACCCTGGCACGTGACATGCAATACAGACTGCATTGAATGCTCAACCAACCAGGTTGTTTGGGTCCCTGGCTCGTTTCAGCAAGACTTCATTATCAGTGGGTGCTCCTCCCTCCCCTCCCCATTTGCACCCCAATACACTTCCTTTTTTCTGCAGGCATTCTTTGTTTCTTTTTTTTCTTTCCATCCCATTGCTGGGCCTATGCATTTGGCGAACTGGATAAGAGGATGAGAGGATGAGATGCAGAGATTAGAGTTTTTCTTTTTCTTTCTTTCCAATCTCATCCCACTGTGGACTGTTCATTATCTTGGACCTATGCTTCTGACAGATGGGATGAGGTTGACAGAGGGGGGGGGGGGGGGGGAGAGAGAGAGAGAGAGAGGGTGGGGGGGGGGGGGGGGGGGGGGGGGGGGGGGGGGGGGGGGGGGGGGGGGGGGGGGGGGGGGGGAGGGGGAAAAAGCGATTTCATGCCATCTGTGAAGACACTGAAGAGCACACACACATATAATACTTAGTTTATTTCACTTGCCTGAGTCAGCGTTCAAACCCTTAGTTTATTTCAGTTGCCTGAGTCAGCGTTCAAACCCTTAGTTTATTTCAGTTGCCTGAGTCAGCGTTGAACCCACACACACAACTCCGAACGCAGACAGAAACTGAATCCTTGACCAATCATGTAGTTCAGGGTTGCCGTCTTTTCAGGAGCACTTTCTGATCACTAGGTCCTCCTTCACAATACAACACAGTTTACGAAACACAGCTGCAGAAAGAGAGTTATTGATGGGCAGACGGGGAGGAGGAGAGGCCAGGCAGACAGAACGTTAGCTACAGGTACTTGGACCGATGGACAAGCGAAAAGACACCTACACATAGACTGACAGACAAGTTGGGCCAAGAGAGAGAGAGAGAGAGAGAGAGAGA